ATCCTATCAGACCACTGGTTGAATCCTACGCGTGCTTAAGAGTATCCCATAACACCTGGATCCCGTTCAGCTAAACTCATATCAGGGCTGCATCCGGGTGTGATGGAATTCTTGCGCGGCCCGATCCAGTTTTCATGCGCAACCGCTATAGCTATTCACCCTCACCCAGCTCTAAGAAAAGCCGACTACGGCTCGATGCATATTGGGTACAAACCGATTCAAGTTGGATCCAGTTCGGATAGACACATTTTGGGGCTCGACCCAGCTTTAATCGCATCTTACTAATGCTCGAACATCGTCGTCGTCGTAGTCGTCGTCGTTATCGTTGTAGGCGTCTGTCTTCGTCGTCGTTTTCGTCGTCGTCGGCGTCGCTGCCGTCATCGTCGTCGTTCTCGTTGTCGTCGGCGTGGGGGTCATTGTCGGCGTCGTTGTCGTCGTCGTCGCCATCGTGGTCGTCGCCCGTCGTCGTCGTCGTCGTCGTCCGTGGCCGACGTCGTTGTCGTCGACATCGACGTCGTCTTCGTCGTTGTCGTCGGGATCGTTGTCGTCATCGTCGTCGTTATCGTTGTCGTCAGCGTGGGTGTCATTGTCGGCGTCGTCGTCGTCGTTCGCGTCGTTGGCTGGCGGCGGCGGTGATGTCGTCGTCGTCGTTGCCAGGAGGGAAAGCGGTGTGGACCCTCGAATGTTTTTCGTTGGGGGATGGCGCGGGATTTTGGATCCCTTGGAATATTTTTCGGGGACCCCCCCCCTTGCCAGCAGCGGCAGAAAGAGTTCTTCCGGCTTTTCTGGACCCGGCGGGCCTCGGCCATGAATAGGCTCCCCGACTTTTCCTGCACATTGGTCCAGCAACCAGAGCCGTTCTTGAGCCCAAGATGGTATTTATTTTTGCGTCGTGGCAGAACCAAAAGACTGGGTATGACGCCTAACAGCGAATGTTGCCCCAACCCGACAGCGTCTCACATGGACAACGTCCGCTGTGACAGCGGCACTGAGCCAGGCTCAAGATTGACAGGCCCAATTCTGTCCGTCCCCACTCCGGTCTTGATGAGAGGAGGGGGTGCGCCGCTGCTCGAGCCAAAGGGGGCCCGAAGGGGCCTGCGCTGCTCCACGCGCCCTCAACGTCGACAGTGCGGGGGGGAGAAGAAAGATGAGAAGCAAAGAGCAGGTACACAGGGAACAGGAGGCAGGAGGCGAAGAGGAGCAGATGGAGAGGGATAACTATTAGTAGTCGTAGTAGCAATAGTGGCAAGAGTGCTCATACTGTTAGATCCACTACAACTACACTCGCTACTCCCGGTGTTACTCCTACCGCGCCGACTACTGTTACTTCTTTTGTATCTAGTATTGGCGCAGTGAGTATAGTAGCGATTGTGTTAGCATTAAAATTATGAGTGGTAGTAGTAGCAGTCGTAGTAGAAGTAGTAGTAGTGCTACTAGTAGTCGTAGTAATAGTAGTAGTAGTAGTAGTAGTAGTTGTCGTTGCCTTGGTCGTAGTAGTAATAATCGTAGTAGCAGTAATAGTCGCAGTAGTAGTAGTAGTAGTAGTAGTAGTAGTAGTAGTAGTAGTAGTAGTAGTAGTAGTAGTATGGCACTAAGAGTGCTAGTCGCTGTACGTTTCACTACCAGTTATGGTAGTAGTACTAGTAATGGTAGTAGTGAAAATATAAATCGTAGTTCTAGTAGTAGTGGTACTAGTAGTAGTAGTAGTAGTAGTAGTAGTAGTAGTAGTAGTGGTAGAACTCGTGGGAAAGGTAGCCGTAGTCGTAGTCGTAAACGTAATAGTACTAGTCGTCGTCGCCGTGGTAGTAGTAGTAATGATAAAGGTAGTAGTAGTAATCATAGTAGTAGTAGTAGTCGATGTAATAGCAGTAGTAGTCGTAGTCGTAGTAGTAGTAGTAGTAGTAGTAGTAGTAGTAGTAGTGAATGTAGTAGATGTAGTAGATGTAGTAGATGCAAAAGTAGTAGTAGTAGTAGTAGTCGTAGTCGTAGTCGTAGTCGTAGTCGTAGTCGTAGTAGGAGTAGTGGTAGTGGTAGTAGTAGTAGTAGTAGTAATAGTAGTAGTAGTAGTAGTAGTAGTAGTAGTAGTAGTAGTAGTAGTAGTAGTAGTAGTAGTAGTAGTAGTAGTAGTAGTAGTAGTAGTAGTAGTAGTAGTAGTAGTAGTAGTAGTAGTAGCGTAGTCGTAGTAGTAGTAGTAGTAGTAGTAGTCGTCGTATGCCTAGTAGTAGTAGTAGTAGTAATGCTAGTAGTAGTAGTAGTAGTAGTAGTAGTAGTCGTAGTAGTAGAAGAAGCAGTAGTATTAGTAGCAGAAGAAGTATGGTAGTAGTAGTAGTAGTACTAGTAGTCGCAGTCGTAGTAGTAGTAGTAGTAGTAGTAGTAGTGGTAGTGGTAGTCATAGTGGTAGTAGTAGTAGTAGTAGTAGTAGTAGTAGTAGTAGTAGTAGTGGTGGTAGCATTAGTAGTAGTAATAGTGGTAGTCGTTGTACTAGTAGCATTAGTAGTCGTAGTAGTCGTAGTAGTAGTAGTAGTAGTAGTAGTAGTCGTCGTCGTCGTCGTCGTCGTCGTCGTCGTCGTAGCAGTAGTTGTTGGTGTAGCAGTTGTGGTCGGAGTAGTAGTAATCGTCGTAGTAGTAGTGGTGGTAGTAGTAACAGTCGTAGGTAGTAGTAGTAGTAGTAGTAGTCGTCGTCGTCGTCGTCGTCGTCGTCGTCGTCGTCGTCGTCGTCGTCGTCCTCGTCTGGGATAATAATAGCAGTAGTAGTAGTAGTAGTAGTAGTAGTAGTACTAGTAGTAGTAGTAGTAGTAGTAGTAGTAGTAGGAGGAGGAGTGGTAATGGTGGCCGCCATATTAAAATATTACTAATGATAGCAGCAGTAACGCGCTAGCACTAGGAAGGATCTACATTGGACACGTTGGACATGGAACCAGACGCATACATGCACACAAACTTTAGAGTATGGACAAACGTACACGCATAACCAGCGTAGGAGTGCTTATAGTCTGAGGGTGGCTGCAGTGAGCGAGGAGGATAAGGAGCGACGATCAGACATGAGAAGAAGGCGGAGACAATACGAACGAGGACGAGGAGGACGAGGAGGAGGGAATGAGGGAGAACGAGTGGGAGAGAGGATGAACACCATGCGGATCAGTTCGAAAACGCTGGGTCCAATGGGGGGGAATCTGCGAAGGAAAAACAGGAGGGCGAGGAGGGAGTGGGCAGGGGGGAGGGCAGATGGAAGAGGGCAGGAGTGAGAGAAAGGAGGGAGCGAGGGACAAGGGAGGCCGAAAGAGGGAGAAAGAGGAAGGATCAGGGACGTGAACGTGACCATGAAGTGAAAGAAATGATGAAGGACGGAACGGGGAGGGCCGTCGGATAAACATACGGAGGGTGACAAGGATGAGGGAAGACGAGACGTGCGTGAGGAGGGAGGGAGAGGGGGCGGGAAAAAATGAAGCGGAAGGGAGGGTGGGAGGGAGACGGGAGCTATGCGCGAGAAGGGAGGGAGAGAGGGAGGAGGAGAGAGGGAGGGAGCCGGTGGAACGAACGATGAGGGCGAATGGGGCGGACGGGACGGTGCAAATGGTGAAGGATGTGGGAAGAGTGAGGGAAGCGGATGAAAAAGCGAGAGAAGAGAAGGAAGGAGAGATTGGCCAGGGGAGGATGGAAGTCGCAGGGCAGCAGAGAGGAGATACGAGGAAGGACGAATGCGAGGCGGATGGGAAGAGTACTTTGCAAGATAAGGAGGACCAGCCAGCTCTGAGACCGAAAGCGGATGAAGGAGGATATGCGAACGCATGTGTTATATGTGTTTTATCAATGGTGGTAGTGGGAGGGTATACAAGGAGAACGAAAGAGTATACTGTAGAGGAGAAAGACATGGATGTACATGTGGAAGAGTGAAACTGAAGAGCAGAAGGAGGGAGGTTTGGATAGAGAGGACGAGGAGGGAAGAGAGACCGGATCGTGCAGGAGGGGTGGGAACACATGGATGATAATGGTGGCGGAGGAGAAGAGGTCTTAGCATAAATACCCAGACAAGAACAAAGACACGGAACAAACACGTCGAGCAGAAGTCAGGGACGGATAATGTCAAGGTTGCCATGGGCGAGAACCAAAACGGGAACGACGGTAACAGAGGTAACTAGATGGAGGAGAAGGAGGAAGACGGGGAAATGGGACGAGCGGCAATTATAATGAGGACTGACGGATGGATGATGTAATCTACGGGAAGAATGCTGCTGAGGCCACGGACGGCCGCGAACGTAGGGACGAGGAAGAAGGAAGTAGGAGGAGGATAAGGGAAGGGAGGAGCAGGAAGAAAGAGAGGGAGAGGAGGAGGCGGAGGAGAACACGGACAACACAAAGACGAAGACGAAGACGAAGGCGGGGATGAGGAGGAAGAGCAGGAGAAAGAGGAGGAGGAGGAGGAGGAGGAGGAGAAGGAAAAGGAGGAAGAAGAGGAGGAGGAGGAGGAGGGGGTGTCGACGCAAACCCAATGACCTCCGCCGAAGAGGAGGGGGATGAAACGAATGCTGGGGGGCAGAAGGAGGAGGAGGAGAGAAGGAAGAGGAGGAGGAGAAGAGGAGGAGCACGAGTGAGGATGAGGAGGAGGAGGAGGATGAGGAGGAGGACGACGAGGATGATGAGGAGGCGAGGAGGAGGAGGAGGAGGAGGAGGAGGAGGGAGGAACAGGGGAGGAGGTGCACAAGGAAGAGAAAGAAGACACGGAGAAAGAGGAAGAGGAGTAAGAGGGGAGGAGGAGGAGGAGGAGGAGGAGGAGGAGGAGGAGGATAAGGAGGATGAGGATGAGGATGAGGAGGAGGAGGAGGAAAAGGAGGAGGAGGAGGACGAGGAGGAGGGTGAGGAGGAGGAGGGACGAGGTGGAGGAGGCCAAGGAGGACGACGAGGACGAGCAGCAGGCCGAGGACGAGGGAGGCTGGCGCTGGCGCGCGAAGTAACCCGCGCACGCGACGCGCGGGGCGGCCGCGTGCGCGAGCCCCGCGGGCTCACCGGAACAGACCCTTCCGCTTCGGGCCCCCGAGCTCCCCCGGTGCCGCCTGCGCGGGGGAGGCAAGAGCAGGGGAAACAAAAACTGGAAACTTTCTTCTTCTGCTTCTCCTCCCCCTCCCCCTCCTCCTCCTCCTTTTCCTCCCCGTCCTTCTCGGTGATTCGGTGATGCGGACGAGTTCGCGTCGAAGCGCCGATGCCCTCGAGCCCCACCCCCGCGACCTCGGGGGGGAGGGCGAACCACAAACCAGGAGGCAAAGGGAAAAAGAGAGAGAGGGAGAGAGATAGACAAAGACGAAAGACGGATGGTCAACACTATGATGCACCTCGGGATGGGGGGCGAAGAGGTGGGGCCTGGTGGCGCTTGTGTGCCCTGGCGCTGTGCGGGTGCAGAGGTGGGCCGATCGTGGGCCCCAGCCCCCTGGGGGGAGCTGAGGTCCACCTCGGCACGCCTCGCCTCTCCTGGAGTACAGTCGAGGCGTTGACCTAAGGAACCCTAAATAAGGAACGAGGCCCCTTTTTCCCATGAGTTCAACCTCGATTTCGTATGGAAGACCCAGGAAAACCCGAGGCAAACTTTGAAACAATCAAGGAACACGGAGCCCCTCCCCAACGAAAAGGGTTCCTTCTTCAGGGCCCCGACTGTAGTGGCCAACCTCCGACGCATCCTGCCCGGAGTCCGAGGGCCAAGGGGGGAGGGCGCGGTGCACCCCGGTGCGGCGCGGCGGACGCGGCGGAGAGGGCGGTGCGGGGCGGGGGGGGGGCGGTGAGGCGCAGGAGTGCCGTGGACGGAGCGAAAGATCGGCCCGGCACGCGGCCGGAGGAAGGGAACGCGCAAGAGTTGTGTTGCTCCCATCGTGCCGAAGGACCACATCCCAGAAACAAAAATCGATCGAGCGCCCAGGAAAGTGTCGAAAGAGCGTCGAAGGAGTGTCGAAGCAGTGTCGACAGAGTGTCTCCCCAGGGCCCGACGCGTGAACACCCCCGAGTTTGGGGGTGTTTCCTTGGTGCTCGACATTCATGCTGGTGATCAAGGCTGAAGTAGGCTGGAACATCACAACGCAAGAGGCGGGAATCGAGTGAGAAGGGCGAGGGTGCAAGGTGGCCCGAGCGGGGCGCCCTCCCTCCGATGGCGGGGGGGAGTGGGGCCCCCGTCGGCGAGGCACTGGTGCCCAGGGGTCGGGTGGCCCGCGGCCTCTGGCCCCGCCGATTGCAACCCCCCGCCCTGGTGTCGAACAGGGCGCCTACACCCACGCACATTCGCCATACATACTTGTCAAGCGCCGACACATCTGAAATCCACTGCTGTGGGGGCTGGGGGGGCCGGCTTCCCGCTGCTCACCAGAGGGCTTCCCCGGAGGGCCTGGAAGCTTCCCGCGAGGCTTCTCTCGGGCGCGCGCTGAACATGGACGACATCAGGGCTGAACCTCAACGGTGTTTTTCGTTTTCGTCTTGTCTTCGTTTTCCCTCGCTTTTGTCTCGAGTCCGCCTTTACCGCAGAACGAAGTCGAACCGACAACGGCCCACGAAATCGCCAAAACACCGTTTAGGTCCAGCCCTGGTGTCGAATCCGTCAAGTTTCCCTTCCCTGGTGCCTGCGCTGGATATGTGCGAGTGGGGCAGGGTGAAGGTTAGCGGGTGAAAGTTCGGGGGGGAGGGGCATACAGGCAAAGCAGGCGAGGGAGGGGTCCCGGGGCTGGAGGAGCCTCAGAGGAGGAGTAGAGAATGTGCCCGAGAGGATGGGGTTGCTGAGGCAGTGGAGGTGCAGGTGGCACAGGAAGCCGCCGTCGTGTATGTGGAAGTGGAGGTTGCCGGAGTGTGCGAGGAAGGAGAGCGCAAGGTAACTTCGGTAGACGAGGCTGCGGTTGTGGATATAGACGCATGCTGGAGCTATGGGCGTGTCGGTGATGAAACTGCTGGTGACACGTCGTGAAATAGCTGGTACTACTGCTGCCGGAGTGGCAGTGGGTGAGTAGTGAAGATGTGGTGCAGTGTTGAGAGTTGTGGAGAAGGTAGGAGCCAGCTAGGTAATCGTTGTGCCGCTGTCGAGGTGAAACTGGTGGAGGCATGGGAGGGCTGCGCCCCGCAGGATGCGGCTGCAGCCGTAGAGGTTGACGCTGTGAGTGGTTGGAATTGGTGCTGGGGCTCCTCGTGGTGAGGATGGACCCTGCCACGGGTCCTGCTCCTAGCACTGGGCAGGGGATCGTAGGTTGCCAGGCGTTTGGCTGAGGTCGTTGCCGCGTGCGCGGCTGTTCTCGGTGCCTGGCTTCCGCCAGTCCTTGAACGGACAGCGGAGAGGTTGAGGCATGGTTGCGTGTGGCCTCGTATTGGCAGGCCACGGGTGGTGGTCGTGGATGCCCTCGCTGGGCCCTGTCTGCAGGCTTGTGTGTTACCGCCTATAGAGGGTGCGGCGGCCCGCAGTCCGCTCGCGGACGATGGCGCGGTGCAGGATGTCCAGCACGACGCGGCGGCACTCGTCGAGGTCCTCGGTATCCGTTGGGAGGCAGAGGCTGGCGATGGCGCCGGCAATGCTGGAGATGTTCGCTGTGCAGTCGATCCGGCGGTTGGGGTCGATGCCCTCTGTCTGTAAAGGGGCTAACTGAGGTTCTTCGCCGTGCTCGTGCGCTCGGAAGCTGGCGTCGTGCGTTCTCCACAGGCCCAGTAGCCGGCGGTTGCCCACGCTCTCGGGGTAGGCGGCGCTTCGATCCACGTGATGCGCACGGTCTCGCCCTCCTTGATGGTGCGGCATGCGTCGTTGCAATTCTCGTCCGGCGCCCAATCCTGGCATGACGTGCGGACCCGGTTGACGTGGCTGTCGCGGTGGTCCATCGCTGTCCTGAAGAATGTGGCGACGGGGAAGTCGCCTTCTTCTTTAGCCTTGTGGAGGGGCGGTGGTTGCTGTCGCAGGTGCTGCTCGCCGCTGTGCAACTTGCGGGCAGGTGGTCACTGTCCCATGGTTGAGGTTTTGGCCTCGGCCTGGATGCTGGCACGCGTGAGCGATGCCTCCCCTGGCTGCGGTGGTTGCAATCGTATGCGTCGTATGCTGCGGTGGACCTCGGCGACCTGCTGCGCGGTGGTACAGTGGGTGTGGGGCGCCTCTGGGGAGCGGTAACGGGCGGCGTCTGGTACCTCGGCGGCCTCGCCTAGTCTGTAGTGGTGGCCTCCTGGTCGGTGCCTCCTCCTCCTCCTCCTCTTTTCTCCTCCTCCTCCTCCTCCTCTTTTCTCCTCCTCCTCCTCCTCCTCCTCCCCCTCTTGCTCCTCCTCCTTCTACTGCTATTGTCGAACGTTCTTCTCTTCCCTTCCTCCTCCTCCCTTTTTTCTGCGAGGAGGGTGCTCAGATCTGGGCGTCGTGGGGAAGACGTGACGGCTGGCCTGTCACCATGTTCGGCCTCCGGAGGCCGCTCCTGGGACCTGGACGGTCCAACAGCAAGCGAGGATCGAGCCTCCTCCCCTCCTCCTCCTCCTCCTCCTCCTCCTCCTCCTCCTCCTCCTCTCCTCCTCCTCTCCTCCTCCTCCTCCCTCCTCCTCCTCCCTCCTCCTCCTCCTCCTGCTGCTCCTCCTCCTCCTCCTCCTCCTCCTCCTCCTCCTCCTCCTCCTCGTCCTCCTCTATCATGCTTTCTCCCCTCTCCTTCACTATCTTATCTTCCTTTGCCCCGCCACCACTATCTTGTCTTCTCTTCTTTGCATCCTCCTCTCCACATGCGTGGAGAAGGTGTCTCCTCGATCTCCTCCCCTGGAAGTAGGAAAAAGAGGAGGGTGCGGAGAAGGATGAGGTAGTTAGGGGGTGAAGGGGACTTCTTGTGGGCAACAAGAAACACAGGTTCGAGCAGAGTTGGGGAACAATATCGGGAACCAAAGAAACACATATGCCCTTTTACATGTACGCGCAGGTTCATTAAGTTCATTGTTGCTTCAACGGTTCTCGTAGTGCTGAAGAACTACCCAGGAACCCATTGAACAAATAATGGCTCTCTGACAGGCATGGGTAAAATCATTGAAAACCATTGTGAAGTTGAGTATTTCATGGGAAGATGTTGAGAAGGCCTTGTGCGTTTGGACTGTGGCGTCGCCATCTGCGAGAGGGGTGCGTCACATGTTCAGAATTTAAAAGATCTCCCGAGCGGAACGGTGAGACACAGCATGGGCGGCGACAGTTGAACGGCGCTGAGCTCTACACCTTCGAAGTTGTGCGCATGATCAAACAATCAGAAACACATACGTGCGACTTGCTCTCAAAACACAATCGGTCTAGATCTCTCCTCTTCCTCCTTCTCCTCTTCCTCCTCCACGCCTGCATGGAGGATGGTGAGGGTCGGCCGTAGGTATCCCGCTTCTTGGAATGTCGGGGTGGGCAGAAAATTGGGGCGGGCAGGTAGGCGGGGCTGGCGAATCAGCATGCTGATGGCTTTCCCCAGCTCCTGGAGGCGCCAGAAACGGCCATGCAGCATGCATCGAAAGAGAGTGCCCCTGGGCGGGGCCGGAACCAGCTGCCTGCAGCAAATCTCGTGCCACCTCCCGATATTCCCCCCTTCCCCCCTTCCGTCTTCCCCAAACTCGGGCCTCCGGTGGCCTCAGCTCGCCCCCCTTCCCCACGACCCGTAAGAGATAGCCCTGCAGCTTGGACTCCGGTCGAGAGGCGTGGCGGAGAGCTTCGGGAACCTGCGCCCTTTGTCCGCGCTGCCTCGCCTCCACCGCACCTGGCCTATGGTCGCCGCGGATGTTGTTTCAGCGCACTCGTGACACGGAAGCTCTGCTGTCGACTGTAATCGTGCGGCCACAGGTGTATCCAGGTCTGGCCAAGGCCAGCCGCATCACGTGCATCCTAGACCCAGACGCCTTGTATACGCCATCCCGTCTCGCCAGGAGGGTATACACGCCGATCCCTTGCCCAAGATTGGAATGGCCAGGTCGGTGGGCGCGTATGGTAGGCGTTTTCCCCGACTCTTGCCCGTGCGAGAGGTCACCCTCGAAACGAATGCCTGTTCTTCGCGTGAGCTGCTGCATCAAGCTTCATGGTAGGGGCCTGCGGGGGAGGGGTGCGCGAGGGCTCCCGTGGCGCTGCCTGCGCCACCGTGCGCAGCAGCTTGTCGAGGTTCGCGTCGTCCAGGTACCCCTGGGCGGCCATCGGCGTCACGCCAGGGGCGCCCCATGCGATCGTCGTCGGGAACGCCTCCACGTTGAACACCTGGCAGCGGCGCATGAGGGGCACGGGTTGGGGGGGGGACGGCCCTCCAAGAAGGCCGGCAGAAGCTCCTCACCAGCCTTCCCGTTTTGAAACGTGGCTGGTTTTGAAACGTGGCTTCCGAAGCAAAAACAAGTCGGGGCGCGATCTTGCGAATGGAACGCCGTAAGTCTATCACTGCGTTCATGAAATGCGACCAAGCGAGGCTGTCGCGCCCGCGTGTGGAAATTATTCGAACGCCCTTGCGCGCGTGCTGGGGCGAGGGGGGCAAAACGCTCATTACCGACACGTGGACACCATCATTACCGTCACGTAGGCACCATCATCGTCATCGACGTGATGAGCATCGGCACCGTTTTTGGCCCTGTCGTCTTCAATGTCATCGTCATCACGAGCATCGCTACTGTCATCATCGTTTCTGCCTTGTTGACGTCGACTTGATCCCGCGCCCGCCCGAACCACCGACTCGCACTGAGGTGCCCGCGTCCGTTGCGCCGCTATACTAGCTGGCCGCACGGATGTGCCAGCCGGCGCAAAGCAGCCATCGCAATCGCCGCCGCCGATTGCTCCACATAGATTGCCCCACACAGACCGTATAACATATATTCTACCTGATTACAAAAAACTGACCGGCCACCCCCCCGAGGGCGGGATTATCCGTTTGCTCTGGGGATATGCAGTTTACATACGATCCTGCCCCATCGTTCATTCTACATATGAAATCATACAATCCCAGCCAAACCGGTGCCGACTGGTCCCGCCATCCCTTCCGCAAGAAAACTACGCGCGCGCACTCTTCATCATAAATCATACATTTGCAAGAACACATCGCAAAAAAAACATATGACGAAGTGCAGACGCGAACGACGTCGCGGGCACATGTCGAGCCCCTTCAAGAACCTTAGGTGTCGCACAGATGTGGAAATCGAGTACCCAAAGAAATGCAAAACCACATGGTTTTGCAACCCGGCTTTTCAAACAAATCTGCGCGCGCGCCCTTGTACTCCTTTTAATGTGACCAAGTGGGCCTATCGCGCGCGCGTCGAAATCATTCGAACGCACCTGCGCGCGTGCGTGGGGGGGACGCATGATCCCGGTCAAATATACCATGCGGACCACTCGCGTCCGTCGGCCGCGCGCGCGCACGCCGACATCCTTCCAAAACCTTCAGCACCGACGCGTGGACACCAGCATCGTCATCGGCGTGGCCAGCATCGGCGCCGTCATTGGCTTTGCCGTCGTCATCGTCATCGTCGCCACCGGCATCGCTACAATCATCATTGTGCCTGCCTGTGTCGACGTCGCCGTGATACTGCGCCCGCCCGGATCACCGACTCGCACTGGCGTGCCCACGACGCCACCGTGGCCTGCGAGACGCGCTGGGAAGTCCCCAGCGGTCAACGCCACCGCGGCCGCGTCGGTCGCGCCAGACTAGCTGGCCGCTCTGCGCGCGAACCTGCGTGCGACAACGCGGCAGCAGCGAGGCGCCAGCCAGCGCCAAGCAGCCATCGCAATCGCCGCCGCATGGGGTTTGCAAACCAAGTTGCGGGTGGGTGGGTGGGTGGGGATGATTGCGCGAGCAGTGGAGTTGACAACTTCAAGTTCGGCACAATAAAATGCACCACATAAGTTGCATCACAGAGATTGCACAACATATCCGCCACCATGCCTGCACGGAGTGGGCGTATTAGAATGCTCCTGTGGTCCCCATGGGAATGTTTTAAATGTCCTTAGGGCCGACCCCCTCCCCGGTTCGCACGCTCACGCGTAGACCGCATCCCCTGAAATCGTTCCCTGGCGATCTTTTCGGCCTCCAGACGGCCAAGATGTCCTCCAAGACAGCTTCCAAGACAGCCAAGATGACGCCCAAACTGCTCAAGATGGTCCAGGCCGGCTCAAGAGGCTCTCAAGGCGGCCTCAAGACAGCCCAAGAGACTCCCAAGACGGCTCTAAGAGGCTCTCCAGGAGAGCCCGAGGAGGCAAAAAAACATAGATGTTCCTTGGACTGCTGCGGAATGTTGAAGTTCTCGCCTGTTTGGGTCTCCGATCGCCCAAGACAGCCCCAGGTGGCTTCAAGATGGCTACAAGACGGCCCGCGAGGCTCCCGAGAGGGCCACAAATCGGCCCAACAGGACCCCAAGGTCGCCCAAGAGGCTCCCACAAGGGCCCCAAAGCGGCCCTGAAGGGCCCCAAGAGTGCCCCATAACGGCCCAGAGAGGCCCTCAAGACGGCCTCCGAAGGCGTCAGGCGGGCCAAGAGCCATAGGAGATGTCCCAGGAAGCCCCAAGAGGCCCCAGGAGGCATCCAAGAGTGTTTTAAGATGCCCTCCAGGAGAGCCTGAGGCAAACATCAATGATTTTCAATGGGTGTTTGTGGGATGTTGAAGTTCTCGCCTCTGTGGTCCTCCGATTGCCCTAGACGGCCATAGAGGCCTCCAGGCTAGCTCCAAGACGGCCCGCGAGGCTCCCAAGATGGCCCCGCATCGGCCCAACAAGAAACCGAGATCGCCCAAGAGGCTTCCAAGTGGGCCCCAAGGGGGCCCAAAAGCGCTCCAAGAAAGCACCAAGACGGCCCAAACGGGCCCCCAAGACGGTCTCCGAAAGCGCCGGACGAGCCAAAAGCTCCCTAAGACGGCCCGGGAGGCTCCAAGAAGCCCCCGAGAGGTCCCAGGAGGCCCCCAAGAGACCCCCAAATAGCTCACAGGAAGCATCCAGGAGGCCCCAAGAAAGGGGCCCATGAGTCCTTCTTCTCACCGTTTTCATATTTTCCGTATCCTCCTCTTCTTCCTCCTCCTCCTCCCCACCTTCGCCTCTTCTTCCTCCATTCCGCGAATATCACGCCCTTCCCAGTTCAGACCAGTCGTCGGAATTGCGCTGTTCATACACTCAATCTCCTTCCTGCTGCGGTGTTGCACAAGCACGGTGGCGGGGTTTGCCGCAGGCAGCTGGATATTCAATAACATATATTGCCAACATGAATTGCACCACATGGATTGGGCCACACAAATTGCACCAGATAGGTTGCAGAATTTATGTTGCTAGCCACGCTGGCACCACACACATATATATATATATACATATATATATATCCATATATACAGACATCTACATATACAAATGAAGATTGCAGATACATATGCAGATATATATATATATATATATATATATATTATCATACGCACCTCTCCGAGGGAGTAGAGCTCAGAGGCGATTAATGCGCACGTCGTCCGCGATTTGTCTGGCCGTTTCGCTCGGGACATCCTCGAAATTCTGAAAATCGGTGGCACCCCTCACGCAGATCGTGACGTCAGGGTCCAAAAACACATGGGAATTTCAACATTTTAACATAAAACCTTCAAAAACACATGGTAATTTCAATAATTTTGACCCCGATTCTCAGAGAATGGCGGTTTCGCCTGAGACATCCTCCCAAAATCGAGCCCCAGACCCCTCCTCGGAGCCTCCTGGGGGCCTCCTGGAACCTCCTGGGGCCTCCTGGGGCTTTCTGGACCTTCTGGTACCCCAGACCCCGCCTCGGAGCCTCCTGGAGTTCTCCTGGGCCTGCTGAGGCCGCCTGGGGCCTCCTGGGGCCTCCTGGGGCTTCAGAACTACATGCACACACAGAGACACAAATCACGCCCAACACATCACACGCTAGACAAACATAACATACACACACAACACCGACAACACACAAAAAGCACGCACCACACAAAGCACACATCACACACACACAACACTCACAATCCTGGGGCCTCCTGGAGCCTCTTCTGGTATCCAAGTCGGGCCTCCTGAGGCTTCCTGGGGGGCCCTGGTACACACATCGCAAGGTGTGGCAACCCCACTTGCGCTCGAGTGCGACTTCGCTGTTGCATGTCACTCCTGTTTCAAACGCCCCTTCAGCTTATTGTATGAGCCTGGGCACACACGTGCCCCTTGTATATATATATATATATATACACATACATACAGACAGACAGACAGACAGACAGACAGACAGACAGACAGACAGACAGACATACATACATACATATGTATACATATACATATACAGACATATGTATGTATGTATGTATGTATATACATACATACATATGCATATACATATACATATACAATTGAAGATTGCATTGGCGCTTCGCGCCATGCACCTTGAACCATGAAGTTTGGTATGCGACAATTTCGCGATAATTCCTTGTTGCCTTTTCCGGCATCGCCGGTATAATAATGTGATTCGTTGTCCTTCATGTTTCTTTGTTCTCATTCTCGCCATACCCTGCGTATCCTCCCTATCCTCCTCAGCCCTTTTTGCAGAGGCTCCTCCTTGGAGAGCCTCTGGGGGCCTCACAAAAGCTTTTCAAGCTTTTTTCAAGCCTTCTGGAGGCCTCCTGGGCAGCTTCGTCTTCTGGGGACCTCTGGGGGCTTCCTCGGGCCACCCTGCCTCCAACCGCGGTCTCCCTGAACGACCGGGTCACGATTTGGAATGCTTCGGAGAGTGTCTTGGGGCCATCTTGGGCCGTCATGGGGCTCTCTTAGCAATCTTGGAACCCTGTTGCGCCGTCTTGGGGCTCTCTTGGACTGCCTGGAAGCCCTTTCGGATGGTTGTGGGGCGAATTTCGATTTCCCAGGCGGCTTCGGACGCCCAGAAGACCGCCGTCTTGGAGCGTCGGGAAGCCGAAAAGAGGAGAAACCCCAAATTCACCAAAACCCAAAACACAATCAATGATTTTTGCCTCTTCGGGCCTTCTTGGTAGTGCTTTTGTAGGCCTCTTGGGACGCTTTGGAGCGATCTTTGGGGGTATGACGGCTTCTTTGGGGTCGTCGTGGACCGTCTTGGGGCTCTCTGGGGTTGTTTCGGGAGCGCGCCGGAACGCCTGGAGCCCTCTAGGCCGTCTTCGGGCTCTCGTGGGGTTCTCCCAGATCGTCTGGAGGGTTGCCCGAGAGGCCTGGGTTGGGCCAAATTCATTGAGTGGGGGGCGCTTTTTTTCCGGGGTCCCCGGCCCTATACTCATATATGAATATGAACAGACACACACATATATCTATATATATATATATGTATATATATGTGTGCATATGTATACAACTACCTCCTCCTCCTCCTCCTCCTCCTCCTCCTCCTCCTCCTCCTCCTCCTCCTCCCCCCTCCCTCTGCTCCCCCTCCTCCTGCTCTCCTCTGCCTCCTTCTCCTCCTCTTGCTTCTCCTCCACATCCTTCTCCCCCCTCCTCCTCCCTCATCCACCTCCCCCACCCTTGCTCCACCTCCCACTCATCCTCCCCCCCCTGCCCGCCCTCGTTTTCGTCTACGCAGTTCTCAGGGTCGGCGGCACCGGCCGTAAGGCCTCCGCAATCTAGATTTGTGCATATGTATATATATATATATGGGTATATTTATATATGACTATAAATGTGCATGTTTATACACACACCTAGCTTGAAGCACCGCCATGTTAGTCATGTATGCGGACCTTCGCCCGAAACGAAGTGTACTCCAGATTTCGTAATAAAAGGGAGGGGGTCTGGACTCTCCAAGACAAGCGATTTCAGACCTCCCCCGTGGGAGAACCCTCCAAAACATCGTCCCCAGACCCCCCAGGCCCTCCAAGATAGCCTGGAAGAGACCCCCCCCCCGAAATGAGACCCCCCTCCCTTTATTACGAAATCTGGAGTACACACACTCCGGCGAACGCCTCACGCTCGCACACCCTGCCCCGACGAGTGGCCACTGCGCCGGGCGCGGCACAGCGGCAGCGGCCGCGGCTTCCCGGCCGCGCGCCCGCCCACGGCCCCCGTGTGGCGGCGCGCACAGGGGGGGTGGAGGGAGGGGGGAGGGCTTCTTAGAAGGAGGCTGCCTATTCGATTAGGAGGCTGCTTCTTCGAAGGCCTCTCAGAAGGCGCCCTCTAAGAGAAGCAGGGGGGGGCTTCTGAGGAGCCCGCCCCCCACCCCCCCCGCTCCCCCCTCGGCGCGTGGCTGATGACCCGTGCTGCGCGCCGCCGGGCCTGCGCCAGGGAGGCGAACTCGCCCGAGTCGAACACGAAGACCCGCAGCGGCGCGAGGGGCGCGCTCGGCGGCGCCCCCGCGGCGGCGTGCTCGGGGCCCGCCGCCGCGCGGCCCGGGAGCTCGGGCGGCCCCGCAGAGGCGGGCGGGCCTGCCTCGTCGGGCGCCGGCTGCGGGGCCGCCGCGGCCGCGAGGGCCTCGCGCGCGGCGAGCGCACCCGGATCCGAGCCCTCGCGGGCTGGACTCCCAGCCTCCTCCTCCCTCCTCCTCCTCCTCCTCCTCCTCCTCCACCTCCTCCTCCTCCTCCTCCTGGGGGCGATGCCACGGGTACGCGGTGGCACGGACACGTTCCGCACGGGGCATCCGCGAGACCACCGCCCCGCATCCAGGCGGTCGCGTCCACGAACAGGGCTCGGCCCGCGAGGCCGCTGGATGCGGCCATGGGTTCTGCCCACGAGGGCCTCCGACCCGGCCCGGCCCTGGATGGCGCGCTCCAGCGCGGGCAGCTGCCTGTCGCACCACGGGCAGCCCGAGCGGGAGAAGACCATGACGACCTGCTCCTGGCCCCTCCTCGCGGCGGGGGGGGGGGGGCGCTGCTAATCGCACCGGGAGACTGACCCCCCGTTCGCGGCAGCCTCCGGCGAATTGCCAGTCGCCCGTCGAAGAAGAGGGTGCCCCCGTGAATCTCCCGAGACCACTCCGACCCGACCGGGCCTCAGGACAGGCTCACCCCCTGCCGCCCCCCCCCCGCCGAGCAAGAGAGGAGGAGGGAGGGAGGGGAGGACGCGGCGAAAGAGCATCTGCAGGCTCGAACAACCTGTGACTGCGCATGTGAGCCTCAAACTCACTGATGATGCTTCGTCGGGCGACTATTTGAGTCGACACTTTCCCAGACGTCTGACGTCGTGTGTTTTTTTTGGTTGCCGCGCGGCCCCCCAGAGGCCTGGACCCCTCCCCGTGGAGTGCCTGTTCATCCTGGGCCGTTGCTTGACCGCCCCCGGGGCCTAACAAGGACCCCTCGACGCCGAACTCGGCCGAACATCTCGCGTCGTGGTGACCTTGACCACGACGCGAGGAGGGGAGGAGGAGGAGGAGGAGGAGGAGGAGGAGGAGGAGGAGGAGGAGGAGGAGGAGGAGGGGAGGGGAGGAGGAGGAGGAGGAGGAGGAGGAGGAGAGGAGGAGGAGGAGGAGGAGGAGGAGGATGACAACGACGACGGCGACGAGGGGAGGGACAAAGTCCTGATGGCGCCAGTCATGTCGCCCAGCAGGCGCCTCTCGGCTGCGCAAAAGGGGCGACCCTGGGCAGGAGCGGCCTCTGGTGCGCGGCCCTTCCCTGCGGTGAGGGGACGCGAGGGAATCGAGTAACATGCTTATGGGGGGGGGGTAGCAGAGGGGGGGCTTGAGAATCAGCTCGCGTAGCTGATTCTCCCGGCGCGGGGGCGGCGATGTATCGGAAAAGTGGGCCCCTCGGTGGGGCCGAAACCAGCTGCATGCAGCAGATTTCGTACCCCCCCCTTTCCCCATCCCCCCCCCCCCTTTCGTCCGGCCCGAGAGTACAGGCGCGCAGGCCAATGCTTGGGGGGGGGGGCCCTGCGGGCCCGCACCAAAGGCCACTCCAGCGAGGGGTCACTCTTGCGTGGAGTCTTCGGTCGGGCACGTCTCTCCTGCAGGCGGGCTTTTTGGCAGAAGCGCAAAAGCAGAGCCAAAGCGCGATCAAATAATGATCAAAAATACGGCGAGAAATCGTCACCATGCAGACTTTTTTTGACAAGCTTTGAATCTTCCTCCTGTGGTAGAAGAGGCAACGCCATAAACATGAGCTTCTGGCGCTGGGCGCGGATTTCTCGGATCCGCGCTGGACCCCCTGCCCCTGGCGCGCGGAGCGCGCCAGGGGCGGCGCCGGAAGCGCCGCCAGGGGGGCCCCAGCGCGGATCCGAGGCATCCGCGCGGAGCGCCAGAAGCTGATGCTTGTGCCGTCTTCCCTCTTCTTCGGTGTGGAGGGGCATGCCGGACTCGCGTGCAGCCGCGCCTCCGCCACCCTGCGTCGGGCTCTTGCCCGGCGGGCCCCGCGGGGTCCGGCCGCAGGGCGAAGCGCCGGCCCTCGGCCGGCACGAGCTCCCCGCTGAGGGGCGCGCCCACCTCCGCACGGGGAGCTGGCCGGCGCGCTCTGCAGCAGGCGCGGCGCGGGCGTTTTTTTCCTTCTTCGGTGCTCCCACGTGGGGCGTACAGTCGGGGAGTTGACCGAAGGAACCCTAAATAAGGAACGAGGCCCCTTTTTTTCCATAAGTCAAACTTCGATTTCCGATCGAAGACAGAAGGGAAACCTGAGGCAAGCTGTGAAACACTTAAGGAACGCGGAGCCCCTCCCCAACCAAAAGGGTTCCTTTTTCAGGGCCCCGACTGTAAGGGAGGGGGGGCGTCTTTCCCAAACCGAACGGGCCTTCCCAAACCAAACTTTGGCTTGGGTGACCCAAGTTTTGGTTCAGGAAGACCCGGCTCGGTTTGGGAAGACCCGGTTGGTTTGGGAAGACCCGGTTGGTTTGGGAAGACCCGGGCCTCGTGATTTGGGAAGACGCGGTTGGTTTGGGAAGACGCGGTTGGGACCGCGCTTCCACGTTGGGCGTAAGGGGGGGGGTCTGGCTCTGGACCTCTGCGGATGCGATTGCTTGCAGCAGTGCGTCCTATGGGGGAGACCCCACCTGCTCGAAGCAGGCGCCCCAAAACAGCCAAGATCTACTCCAGGGGGGTGACGGGGGGTGCGAGGGCCCGCGCCCATCGGCAAAGCAACGCATAAGAACACGATCGCCAGGGCGTTCCAAGAACCCTGTCGTCTTCGCGTCGCAACGAGATCGCGACGGGAGAGGTTCGACAATCTTCCGCCTTGGAGGGGCCTTGCTTGGGCCACAGGCGTGCCTGGGGAGGAGAAGCCAATTCCTGGGAAGGGCCTGTGCCACGCTGCCTCCTTGTCCTCCTCCTTGTCCTCCTCCTCCTCCTCCTCCTCCTCCTCTCTCTCTCTCTCTTTGTTTTTTTTGTTTTTCTCTCTCTCTCTCTCTCTCTCTCTCTCTCTCTCTCTATATATATATATATATATATCCCATCCCAGGGGGGGCGAGCCCCCGCGGAGTCCACACCATGCAAGGTCCTGCACGTAGAGCACCTTCTTGTGCGGCCCCACCGCCAGGCGCCCCCGATGGACGTGACAGAGACCGCGACCTCGCCAGGGCCCCGCAGCGGGGCGGACCGCGCAGCGCAGATGTTGACGCCATCTCTGTGCCACCCCCAGACCTCGTATGCCCTGCGGGCTCCGAGCGGTATGCGGCGATGGCAGCCATCTCTGAGCCACTCCCAGACCTCGTATGCCCGATGGGCTCCGAGCGGTATGCGGCGATGGCTCGACTGGGCAGATCGTTGCATCGAATCAAGAAACTCAGGAGCGTCAGAACATGAGAGAAGAGCTATAAACCTGATGACCGAATCAGTCTGGCCAGCGCCATTGCATGAGAGGGTGAATGAACGTTGTGAGTACCTCACATAAGAAAGCGAGCCGCTGAAGGAAGATCTCATCACGGGGGTAGTTGATGCACAAAAGCCTCGATCTGGGCCTGGACGTCCGCGAGCCGCGCTGCCTCCCCAGGATGCTCCCACTGGGTCACTCCCGTAGCTCGGTTGAAGTAATACGTGTTGCCCGAGCTAGAATCAACCGCCGACTCTCACTCGGGGGGAGCTGCAGCGGATCGGTCGGCGACGCAACGGCACGGTCCCAACCAGAGGGATGCTCGCCAGAGTCTGAAGAAGCAGTGGCAAACGGGGGCACGGCCGACGCTCGCTGGGAGATGAGCGCGGTCTCCACGGCCGGGGCCTGCGGGGCGTCGGCCTGGTCACCGTAGGCCAGCTGCTCCGTGGCCCACTCCGATCTGAGACTGCTCCCTGGAGGGCCGGGGCGTAGGGCGGCGGAGACAGGGCCTGCAGTGCCCCATGTGCGTCGGGTCACGTGTCTCGCAAGCCGCCGCTGCCCCAGCCGCATCACCCTTTGCTGACCCCAGGCGGCACTTGGCAGCCTCGGGGCGCGCGACTGCCGCCGGTTCGTCCCGCGCCTCCAGCTCCTCGTCGCTTGACGATGCTTCGTACAACTGCTCGAAGAATGCCGTATCGAGATCATCCTGCACGACTTTCTCAACACGCTGGCTATATCCAACGCTGCTCGCGTCAGGCACGGGTTTCAACTTCGATTCCCGCTCCTCGCAAAATCGTTGGGCGGGCTCTGGGCCTGATGCCACAAGTGGCTCTTCTCGCACGCGCTGACTTTGGGGCTGTAGTTGATGATGTCTGTTCTTAATTGGCGTAACTGTCTGCAGTTTTTGGTGATTCACACCAGTAACGTTGGGCTCCACTGCCTGCACCTTCTCGCACGCAAGGTGAGCGGGCTCTGCACCTGATGCCACAGCTGGCTCTTCTCGGGCCCGTTGACTCTGGGAATGTAGTTGATGATGCATGTTCCCAACTTTAGGCACCACTGCCTGCAGCTTCTCGCAAACAAAGCTAATGACATTGGGCTCCACTGCCTGGCCCTCCTCGCGCGCTCGGCGGGCGGGTTCAGCACCCGATGCCACAGCTGTCTCTTCTCGCACGCGCTGACTTTGGCGCTGTAGTTGATGATGGCTGTGGCCAACTTTTGGCGCCACTGCCTGCAGCTTCTCGCACTCAAGGCTGATAGCATTGGGCTCCAATGCCAACACCTTCTCGCACTCTAGGTGAGCGGGTTCTGCACCTGATACCACAGCTGGCTCTTCTCGCACGCGCTGACTTTGGGGCTGTAGTAGGTGATGCACGTCCCCACCTTTAGGCGTAACTGCCTGCAGCTTCTGGCCAACAGAACTGATAACGTTGGGCACCACTGCCTGCAACTTCTCACACGCGCTGTGAGCGGGCCCTGCACCTGATGCCACAGCTAACTCTTCTCGCACGCTCTGACTGTGTCTGTAGTTGATGATGCCTGTGCCCGGCTGAGGGCTCCACTGCCTGCAGTTTCTCGCAATCTAAGCTAACGACTTTGGGCTCAAGTGCCTGGCCCTCCTCGCACTCTCGGTGAACGGATTCTGCACATGATGCCACTGCTGGCTCTTCTCGCACGCGCTGACCCTGGGGCGGTAGTTGATGATGACCGTCCCCAACTTGAGGCGCCACTGCCTGCTGCTTCTCGCACTCCAAGCTGATAGCATTGGGCTCCACTGCCTGCACCTTCTCACACGGTGTGTGCCACAATTCTTGATGCCCAAGAAAAGGAAGAAGAAAACATTGTAGCTGACAGCATTCGGCATCATCTTCACATATACTATCTTGCGGGTCCTTAGGCCACCACATATCAAGGGACTGCGGAGGGTTCAGGTCTGCTATCGCCTCCCTGATCTCGACTACTATGTACTTAGTCTGCTGCTTGGCCTTGGCCGCCTCGCGCCTCAGGCCGGTGTGCGCCCTCATCCACGCCTCAGTGGCGTCGCGGCGGCGCCGGCGGGCGAGGCGCCTGGCCTTGGTGGGACCGTAGGAGTCGATCTCGGCCTGGCGCATGAGGTCGGGCCGCCCCGCTTTCGGGCGGCCCCCCGAGTCCATCCTTCTTGACGCGACTGGCGAGAACAAGAGCAACATATGAAAGCAAGGCAAGAGCACCGCAGGCGCGGCCGTCGGCCGCGAGGGGTGCAGGGAGGCACCGAAGACCCCCCTCGCGGCAATGGCGGCACGCGTGGGCCCCGCGCGCGCTGGCTGGCCTCCCTGGGAGGCGGGCCCGCTCGAGCGCGCGGTGCCTTGAGCCAGAATGGCTACGGACCCTCCTCCTCCTCCTCCTCCTCCTCCTCCTCCTCCTCCTCCTCCTCCTCCTCCTCCTCCCCTTCACTGCCCCTGGGAAGGGGTCCTGGCCCCTGCCGCGCTGCGAACGCCTCATGGCGGCGAGTGTCTGGGAAAGGGCCTCGCCTGCGGAGCCTTGCGCCCTCGGCGGGAGCCAGCGAACAATAGCACGGCGGCGAGCCCGCCATTATGAGGCCGGCGGGCACAACAGCGAGATGTCAACATGGTTGGGCTCAGGGTCTTATCTTATGGGCTTCTCGGTGGCTCTTCCTTCCAGCCCCGTCGCCGTCTGGAGGGGCGCGCACCACACGCGCTCGGGACCGTGCATGTGTGCATCTTTCTCTCCCGGGCCACAGGGTCTCGATGCCGTCTATAGACGCGGTTCGACTTCTCGCTTACGGTGCTCCCGTCCAGCCCGCGGAAGCGACCATCGACCGTTTCGAAACCCTCGAGGCACTCGAAGGATCCAACACGGGAGACCCTCCTCCACCTCCTCCTCCTCCTCTTGCTCCTGGGCCGTACTCGGCCTTCCTCTGGGCCCCCATGGTGGATCTCCTGGGTATCCTGGGCCCTCCTGCGTGGCATTCGCATGTCTGGCGCTTCGATTTGTCGCCGCGCCGTTTGTTCTCGACACGCCCAAGTGCACGACGCCGACACCACGGCAAACACGCGGCAAGCCCTGCGCCCCGCGCCCAAGCAGTCGAAGCCAGCACCGCGGCAAACCACACGGCGAGCCCACCGCGCCCGAGGTGGCGTTTGCCCTGCTGGCCGCGTTATCCCCCCCAGAACGTACGGCCGCGCGTCGAAACAAACGGCGCGGCGACATTTGTTGGATGCGTAGGCCCCTATACCTCTCAACCCCATCCCCAGGGCCAGTTTTTCATCCCGCCTCGTTCTTGATTGTCCCCTGCCGCCGCTCGGACGTCCATTCCCCGTGCATTATTCGGCTTCGCGTGTCTTTTTGGTCGACAGATGACCCACGATGCTCCTCGACGGCCCTCGCCGGGGAAAACCGCACACGTCCGAGCGATGCCAAGTGCCCCGCAGCCCGAAGCGGGGCCCCCACATGGCAGAAACATGGCGACGGCCTGCCGCCTCGATGGTCTCGATGCGCTGCACGTCTCGGCCCAGTGGGGCCACGAGGCTGCGCTCCTCCGCACCACGGGCCTCTGGGGCCATGCTGCTGGGCACTCCTCTTGGGCTCCAGAAGTCTCTGGAGACCTCGGGAACCCTCCAGTGGGAGGTCCCGACGTCCCAGGAAGCCTCCAAGAGACCCCCAGAGGCACAACGGCACACGTGACACACACATACGCAAAAACACACACACACACACTCGCACACGCAAACGCACACGCACACACACAAACGCACACAGGCACGCAACCACGCCCGAACGTACACGCACACGCGCACGCGCACGCGCACGCACACGCACACGTACACGCACACGCACGCACACGCACATGCACGCGCACACGCACGCGCCCGCGAACGCGCACGCACACGCGCACGCGCACGCACACGCACACGCACACGCACACGCACACGCACGCACGCACACACGCACGAACGCACGCGCACACACACACCACACACACCACACACACACCACACACACACCACACACACACACACGCACACGCACGCACACGCGCAAGCGCACACAAACGCACACGCACACACACACACACTCGAACACACAAGCACACACACACACACACACACAAACACACACACACACAACACTCACACGCACGCACGCACGCACGCACACACGCACGCACACAAACACAAACACACACACACACACACACACGCGCGCACGCACGCGCCCGCTAACGCGCACGCGAACGCGCCCGCGCCCGCGCCCGCACACGCACACGCACACGCACGCACACGCACACGCACAAGCACAAACACACGAAAACGCACACGCACACGCAGGCGCAGACGCAAACGCACACACGCACACACTCATACGCACAAACACGCACAAACACACACACACACACACACACACGCACGCACGCACGCACGCACGCACGAACGCGCACACGCACGCACGCATGCTCCACACACACACACACACACACACACACACACACGCACACACACACACACGCGCACGCACGCACGCACGCACGCCCCCCACACACACACACACACACACACGCGCGCGCGCACGCGCACGCGCACGCGCACGCGCACGCACACGCGCCCGCGCCCGCGCCCGCGCCCGTGCCCGCGCCCGCGCCCGCACCCGAACACGCCCGCACACGCAGACGCACACGCACACGCACAAGCACAAGCACAAGCACACGCACACGCACGCGCACACGCACGCGCACATGCACATGTACACGCACACGCACACGCACACGCACACGCACAAGCACACGCACTCGCACACGCACACGCACACGCACACGCGCACGCGTACTCACACGCGCACACGCACACGCACACGCACACGCGCACGCGCACGCACACGCGCACGCGCACGCGCAGGCACTCGCGCACGCGCACGCGTACTCACACGCGTACGCGCACGCGCACGCGCACACGCAATCGTACACACGCGCGCACACGCGTACGCTCACGCGCAAGCGCTCGCGCACGCGCTCGCGCAGACATACGCGCACACGCACGCGCACGCGCACGCGCACGCACACGCGCACGCGCACGCGCACGCGCACGCGCCCGCTTACGCGCACGCACGCACGCACCCACACACATCCCACACACACCCCCACACACACACACACACACACACACACACACACACACACACACACACACACACACACACACACACACACACACACACACACACACACACACACACACACACACACACACACACACACACACACACACACACACACACACACACACACACACACACACACACACACACACACACACACACACACACACACACACACACACACACACACACACACGCACACGCACGCACGCACGCACGCACGCACGCACACGCACGCACGCACGCACGCACGCACGCACGCACGCACGCACGCACGCACGCACGCACGCAACAAAAAATAACACGCAACACACAGCATACACCACACATGACACACCACACACCACACATCAACATTCGACATTCAACACACAACACACATACAGACACACAACAAACACACGACACACACACACACCACACACCACACACCACACACACACACACACTCACCACCCACACCACACACACACACACACATCGCTTCTGGTGCTCCAGGCCACCTTCTCCGCCGCCGCCGACGACGACCCCCCTGGGCCTGCCCTGGGATGCGTGTTGGACAGAACTTCGGAAGGGAATCCGGCGGTGGCGACGAGAGCCATCCGAGGAGGCCAACGGAGGCCCGTGACGGCGACGACGGCGACGACGGCGGCGACGGCGACGGCGACGTCGCCGTCGCCGCCGTCGTCCTAATCCCCCTCGTCGTGCCGCTCGTGCTTTCTCTCCCTCCTCGTCGACCCTCGACCTCCGCCTCGAGGGGGAGCGGGCACGACCAGCCACGACTCTGGGGGGCCCATCGTTTCAACGCTCCCTCGAGCGGATCGCCAAACCCGATGGCTCCCCCGGGGCGGGGTAGAAGGACGACGACGGAGGGGGAGACGAGGCAGACGACGAGTGGGGGCAGGACGACGACGGCGGCGACGACGACAGCAGCAGCGGCGCGGCGACGCCGGCGGCGGCGGCGGGCGGGCGGGCGGGCGGCGGCGTCGTGGCGGTCGTCGCAGCCGCCGTCCTCGTCGCGGGCCTCTTCTGGCCGTCCACACCGCCGCCCTCGCGTCTGCTTCGTCGTCTTCGCCGTCGACGCCGCCGTCGTCCCCGTCGTGGGGGCGCTCCCGCCGCCGAGAGAGCCGGCGGCGGCGGCCTTCTGCCGTGCGCCGTCGGCGGCGGCGCCTCCCGCAGGCGGCGAGGCGCCGACGGACTCGGCGGCCGGGGCACGCAGGCGGGCCTCGCGGGAGAGCACGGGCAGAGCCGCCGGGAGGAACCCCTCGCGGCCTCTCCTGGCCAGCCCCCTGGAGGTCTAAAGGAGCGAGGAGGCCGTGCCCAGCGAGCCCCGTGGCTGCCCCCGAGGGGGGGGGGTGGGGGGGGAGAGCGGGCGCAGAGGGGGCACCCCTGGAAGCCTGGTGGCCGGCCTCCTCGCGATGGCGAGAGCGACGTGGCCGAGGCCGGCTAGCCCCGGGGGGCTGCCTCGCGGGGGGGGGGAGGGAGGGGCGGCAGAGTCACCGGGAAGAACCTCTCGGAGCCTCCCGCCAGACCTTGCAGCAGGAGCGAGGAGGCCGAGGCCGGTCCTCCCGGTGTTTGGCGTGGGCTCCCCAGGCGCCAGCGTCGGGGCCAGCAGCGAGGCCATCAGGAGCAGCAAGCCCCGCCGGAGCCACCTCGGCGGCCGGGAGCCGTCCTCCTCGTCGTCGTCGTCGTCGTCGTCGTCGCCGCCGCCGCCGCCGCTGCCGCCTCCGTCAACGTCGTCGTCGCCGATGACGTCGTCGTCGTCGCCGCTGCCGCCGTCACCGTCCTCGTCGCCGTCGGCATCGTCACCGCCCCAACCGTCGATGTCGTCGTCATCGCCGTCGTCGTCGCCGCCACCGCCACCGCCGTCAACGTCGTTGTCGCCGACGTCGTCGTCGTCGCCACCGTGCTCGTCGTCGTCGTCGCCGCCGCCCCAACCGTCGATGTCGTCGTCGTCGTCGTCGTCGACGTCGACATCGACGTCATCGTCGTCGTCCCCGTCACCACCGTCGCCGTCGTCGTCTTCGCCGACGTCATCGTCGTCGCCACCATCGGCGACGTCGTCGTCGTCGCCGCCGCCAAAACCGACGACATCGTCGATGATGTCGTCGTCGTCGTCGTCGACGACGACGACGACGACCTCGGCACCACCCCACCCGGTCGTCGTCGTCGTCGTCGTCGTCGTCGTCGTCGTCGTCGTCAATGTCGTCGTCGCCGTCGTCGTCGTCGCTGCCGCCCCAACCGCTGATGCCGTTGTCGACGTCGTCGTCGGCGTTGTCGTCGTCGTCGCCTTCGCCGTCGTCGTCGCCCTTGCCGTCGACATTGCCGTCGCCGTCGCCGTCGTCGACGTCGTCGTCAGCGTCGGCGTCAGCGTCGTCGTTGGCCTCGTCGTCGTCGTCGCTGCCGCCGCCAATGTCGTTGTCGTCGTCGTCGTCGTCGCCGCCGCCGCCGCCGCCGCTGCCGCCTCCGTCAACGTCGTCGTCGCCGATGACGTCGTCGTCGTCGCCGCTGCCGCCGTCGTCGTCGTCGTCCTCGTCGCCGTCGGCATCGTCACCGCCCCAACCGTCGATGTCGTCGTCATCGCCGTCGTCGTCTCCGCCACCGCCACCGCCGTCAACGTCGTTGTCGCCGACGTCGTCGTCGTCGCCGCCGTGCTCGTCGTCGTCGTCGCCGCCGCCCCAACCGTCGATGTCGTCGTCGTCGTCGTCGACGTCGACATCGACGTCATCGTCGTCGTCCCCGTCACCACCGTCGCCGTCGTCGTCTTCGCCGACGTCGTCGTCGTCGCCACCATCGGCGACGTCGTCGTCGTCGCCGCCGCCAAAACCGACGACATCGTCGATGATGTCGTCGTCGTCGACGACGACGACGACGACGACCTCGGCGCCACCCCACCCGTTCGTCGTCGTCGTCGTCAATGTCGTCGTCGCCGTCGTCATCGTCGTCGCTGCCGCCCCAACCGCTGATGCCGTTGTCGACGTCGTCGTCGGCGTTGTCGTCGTCGTCGCCTTCGCCGTCGTCGTCGCCCTTGCCGTCGACATTGCCGTCGCCGTCGCCGTCGTCGACGTCGTCGTCGGCGTCGGCGGCGTCGTCGTTGGCCTCGTCGTCGTCGTCGCTGCCGCCGCCAATGTCGTTGTCGTCGTCGTCGTCGTCGCCGCCGCCGCCGCCGCCGCTGCCGCCTCCGTCAACGTCGTCGTCGCCGATGACGTCGTCGTCGCCGCTGTCGCCGTCGTCGTCGTCCTCGTCGCCGTCGGCATCGTCACCGCCCCAACCGTCGATGTCGTCGTCATCGCCGTCGTCGTCGCCGCCACCGCCACCGCCGTCAACGTCGTTGTCGCCGACGTCGTCGTCGTCGCCGCCGTGCTCGTCGTCGTCGCCGCCGCCCCAACCGTCGATGTCGTCGTCGTCGTCGTCGACGTCGACATCGACGTCATCGTCGTCGTCCCGTCACCACCGTCGCCGTCGTCGTCTTCGCCGACGTCGTCGTCGTCGCCACCATCGGCGACGTCGTCGTCGTCGCCGCCGCCAAAACCGACGACATCGTCGATGATGTCGTCGTCGTCGTCGACGACGACGACCTCGGCGCCACCCCACCCGTTCGTCGTCGTCGTCGTCAATGTCGTCGTCGCCGTCGTCGTCGTCGTCGTCGCTGCCGCCCCAACCGCTGATGCCGTTGTCGACGTCGTCGTCGGCGTTGTCGTCGTCATCGCCTTCGCCGTCGTCGTCGCCCTTGCCGTCGACATTGCCGTCGCCGTCGCCGTCGTCGACGTCGTCGTCGGCGTCGGCGTCAGCGTCGTCGTTGGCCTCGTCGTCAACGTCGCTGCCGCCGCCAATGTCGTTGTCGTCGTCGTCGTCGTCGCCGCCGCCGCCGCCGCCGCTGCCGCCTCCGTCAACGTCGTCGTCGCCGATGACGTCGTCGTCGTCGTCGCCGCTGCCGCCGTCGTCGTCGTCCTCGTCGCCGTCGGCATCGTCACCGCCCCAACCGTCGATGTCGTCGTCATCGCCGTCGTCGTCGCCGCCACCGCCACCGCCGTCAACGTCGTTGTCGCCGACGTCGTCGTCGTCGCCGCCGTGCTCGTCGTCGTCGTCGTCGCCGCCGCCCCAACCGTCGATGTCGTCGTCGTCGTCGTCGACGTCGACATCGACGTCATCGTCGTCGTCCCCGTCACCACCGTCGCCGTCGTCGTCTTCGCCGACGTCGTCGTCGTCGCCACCATCGGGCCGCTTCAGCAAGCGAGGGATGGGGAGGACATGGCCTTTTCGTTTCTCGCCACCCACTGTGAGTGGGATTCGGACAACCCTCTGCATGTGCACTGCGACTGCGCTGCCACCATCACCTGTGCCACTGACCCTGGAACGGGGCTCTCGGTGATGCAGGCCAGGCAGCATTTCTGGAGGGATTGGTGGGCGGAGGACGGGGCTGGGCATCGCGCGAGAGTCACCAAGGTGAAAAGTCACCAAGCTGAGTCTCATGCGAGCTCAGACCATGAGGTCTGGCTCATCCGAGGCAACGCTGCTGCCGATGCGTATGCCAAGAGAGGAGCTAGGCTTTGGGACCTTCCGCCAGAGCAAGCCCAGTTCTTTCAATGACTAGAGTCCATGGCCGCAGCTGCAGTCAAGTGGCATGCGAGGGCCCAGCAGGTCTTTGGTGATTCTGGGTTCCTGGACTCGCACGGTGTTGCTGGGACCTCGGATGTCACGCTTGAATTTGATCCTGCGCTCTGGGAGGAACTCCAGGAGGTGTGCTTGGAGCAGGGGGTGAGGCCTTTTGAGGATGTCTCGGGCGTTCGGCTGCTAGAAGCTGCTGCTGTCCCTCCTCCTGGCCCCCCTCCCACGCCTCATGAGTTTGTGGTTCAGAGCACTGGGACCCCATGGGTTTTTAATGGGCACTCGGTTGTTCAGGCTGCGCTCATCCAGATTGAGGGTGGGGTGGAAGTCCAGCCTGGCGACGCGGTCCTCTTCTGTAAATCCTGTGGGGCCTCCTGTTTTAAAAATGTGCGTCGGGGTGAGGGCCTGGATGGCTCCTGCAGGGGTCCCTCTGCTCCAGGGCTGGGAACCCAGAGGTCCCGCCTCAAGAGGGGTTTTTTCCTTGGTAGCCTTGGGGGTCGGGCCCTCGCTGTGCGGATCGGCGACGCGTCAGGCCCGACCGCCGCTCAGGTGGCCGCCTGGACGCCGAGGTTCAAGTCGCTGAGCGAAGCTCCCGCCGCCGTGCTCGGCGGCCAGGACGGGGCTTGGGCCAGCGCTGCCGCCTCGTCGTCTCGGCCTCCCTCCCTCTACGGTCTCGCCCATCCCCGTCTCTTGGATGTGGAGGTGGCCAGGCTGCATGGCTTTGCCTCGCCCTCTGCTGTTGTCTCGTTTGCTCAACAACTGAAGAGGGTGGAGGCCTCCGCTCGTCTTCACGAGCTCCCTCCAGAGGGCTAGTTGTGCGTGCCGCGTCTTTGGACGAGGGGGCTTTGCCCCATATTGCCAGCAACGTCAGCAACGTCGCCACCATCGGCGACGTCGTCGTCGCCGCCGCCGCCAAAACCGACGACATCGTCGATGATGTCGTCGTCGTCGTCGACGACGACGACCTCGGCGCCACCCCACCCGTTCGTCGTCGTCGTCGTCAATGTCGTCGTCGCCGTCGTCGTCGTCGTCGCTGCCGCCCCAACCGCTGATGCCGTTGTCGACGTCGTCGTCGGCGTTGTCGTCGTCGTCGCCTTCGCCGTCGTCGTCGCCCTTGCCGTCGACATTGCCGTCGCCGTCGCCGTCGTCGACGTCGTCGTCGGCGTCGGCGTCAGCGTCGTCGTTGGCCTCGTCGTCAACGTCGCTGCCGCCGCCAATGTCGTTGTCGTCGTCGTCGTCGTCGGAGTAGGCTCCGCTGGAATCACTTCGGCGGACGGGAGCCGTCGTCGTCGTCGTTGTCGTCGTCGTCGTCGTCGCCGTCGTCGTTGTCGTTGTCGTCGTAGTCGTTGTCGTCGTCAGCGTCGTCGTCGTCGTCGGAGTAGGCTCCGCTGGAATCACTTCGGCGAACGGGAGCCGTCGTCGTCGTCGTTGTCGTCGTCGTCGTCGCCGTCGTCGTTGTCGTTGTCGTCGTAGTCGTTGTCGTCGTCAGCGTCGTCGTCGTCGTCGGCGCCAGCTCGTCGATGTCTTCGCTGTCGTTGTCGTCGTTGTCGCCGTCGTCGTCGTCGCCGATGACGTCGTCGTCGTCGCAGCTGCCGCCGTCGTCGTCGTCCTCGTCGCCGTCGGCATCGTCACCGCCCCAACCGTCGTTGTTGCCGTCGTCGTCGTCGTCGCCGCCGTGGTCGTCGTCGTCGTCGCCGCCGCCCCAACCGTCGATGTCGTCGTCGTCGTCGACGTCGACATCGACGTCATCGTCGTCGTCCCCGTCACCACCGTCGCCGTCGTCGTCTTCGCCGACGTTGTCGTCGTCGCCACCATCGGCGACGTCGTCGTCGCCGCCGCCGCCAAAACCGACGACATCGTCGATGATGTCGTCGTCGTCGTCGACGACGACGACGACCTCGGCGCCACCCCACCCGTTTGTCGTCGTCGTCGTCGTCAATGTCGCCGTCGTCGTCGTCGTCGTCGTCGTCGTCGTCGCTGCCGCCCCAACCGCTGATGCCGTTGTCGACGTCGTCGTCGGCGTTGTTGTCGTCGTCGCCTTCGCCGTCGTCGTCGCCCTTGCCGTCGACGTTGCCGTCGCCGTCGCCGTCGCCGTCGTCGACGTCGTCGTCGGCGTCGGCGTCAGCGTCGTCGTTGGCCTCGTCGTCGTCGTCGCTGTCGCCGCCAATGTCGTTGTCGTCGTCGTCGTCTTCGTCGTAGGCTCCGCCGGAATCACTTCGGCGGACGGGAGCCGTCGTCGTCGTCGTCGTCGTTGTCGTCGTCGTCGTCGCCATCCTCGTTGTCGTTGTCGTCGTAGTCGTTGTCGTCGTCGTCGCCACCGTCGCCGCCGTCGTCGCCGCCAATGTCGTCGTCGTCGTCGATGTCGTCGTCGTCGTCGCCGCAATCGTCGTCGTCGTCTTCGTCGACGTCGTCGTCGTCGCCGCCGTCCCAACAATCGATGTCGTCGTCGCTACCACCGCCCCAACCGTCGATGTTGTCGCCGTCGTCGTGGTCGTCGTCGTCGTCTTCCTGCCAGACG